TGGGATAATAAAGGAGAAGTTGTAAACTTAACCTGCGATCAGGCGGTCCTTCTTCCCTTTTTGTTTTGAAGGCGAAAAACAAAAGGCTAATCTCAGGTTATTGTAAATTGTGATTCTTTGCTGTTAAACTGATGATAGTCATTGGTTATGAAAATAAGATAATACTATAGTTACGACGCGACTACATTATGGTTTTGAATATCTTCAGGTGCCAATTGCAAGAGCTTATTACACTTTAGAGCAGCTTAAAAAATAATTGAGAAAATGTAACAAAAAAAAGCAACACGTATCATTTCTTGCGAGTCATTTTTTAAAGAAAACAGATGATAATTTTAGGGATTGCTTATGTGGATGATACAACATGTAGCTATCTCTGGTTGGCAATGCCGATGGATAAGGCCTTGGCTGAACGTCGACCTTTTCATGAGACGAACCAAACTCTAATTTGGGTTGACCTAAATTAAGTTAAGATCGTCTGTTGGGTCAGACGTCGAACTTAGAACGCGTCGAGCCAATCAACTGCACCAGACCAAAAAGCAATTTTAATAAATTTTCGGATCATAATACGTTTCTGGGAAACTGCCCACTTAACCCGACCCTTAGCCAATTTTCAACATTTTAAAACATATATCTAGAATAAAGAACATTTAGCTAGTTAAAGCCAGACTTTAATCCTTTTTTGCCGCCAAAAAAGCGCGCGCTTTTCGCTAATAGTAGGCTATAACATATAGCCTAGTAGTAGCTCAACCAATCAGGACGCAGCATTGATAATAGACCACTAGTTGGGTTTTACTAAATTAGTTTAGTCCGTCGCATGTGAAGATCGACGTTTGGCCCCGAGACGATCTTCAGACGTTCTTATCTAAAGCAGACGGATAGAACCGTCTCCGAGGATCGGATAGAACGTGTTCGACGATCCAACCGGCGTACTTAGCTGAGCCAGTCGTCTAAAATTTCATGAACTCAACTCACTAAGTTTTGGTTCGTCTCACGAAAAGTTTGACGTTTTTCTTAGGCTTAAGATCAAATACGTTTTCCACGCTGGTAACATGTCAATTATCTTTGACGTTTTGTTATGTGATTCATAAAACCATGTCACAAAACGTCGAACATCGTTGATAAAGATCCCGGATGGCATCGAAAACTTGTGTATGCTAAATACTTTTTTATCCTGGGCTTCGAAACCTTGCCTTCTGTAGCTAAAAGATTCCTTCCTGCACATTGTGCGACAAAATTTTCATTGTTTTATCCTCCAACATGGCCGCCTTGTCACGTGGTTGCAAACTGAGAACTATCGTGCTGCTTTAAGGTACGATGCACTTCATTTCTTGCAAGACTTGGCATTCTCCAGACTAATGATTTCTATGGTCGGCTATGAACAGAATAGTGAATTATTTCCCCGTAGTTAACCTCCAAATTCAACCAAAGCAGATGGTAAGGTGTATTTCCCTATCGAGTATTAAAGTGTCAACACCCTGTTGCGAGGTTATTGGGCTGGGGTTTTAATTTATCATATTTTTTCCTTCATTACATGTTCATTGGTAACCATGCGAACTTAAGTCTATTTCCGTAAACACCTCTCTCCGTTTTAGTCTGTCTTGTACATCAGAGGCCGAGTCAGTATTATTTGCCTTGATGCTTGCATTATTAAGGGCAGTTAGTTTAAAGCGCAAGAACCCGGCGGCCCGTCGTCCTTTATAATTCTGTCGATCACTGGCACAGCTTTCCGCAGAATGTGATTGTGGATAAAATTATAGTAAGGGAATTGAAGAAAACGATCAAAATCAATTCTTAGCTTAAGTAAGTATTTTCTATTTTCTCCTGACTCGAAGTTAAGTCGAACATGAATATGAGTAAACTCAGTCTTACAAGCACACACACACAAGTACGAAACTAAACTTACCTCAGCAACTGATGACACAAAAGAAGCTGCTTGTGCTGAAATAAAAAAAAAATTAAGTCAGACAAATTTTCCAATCAATCCTAGGACTAAGGACGGCCAGAAATATGAGCCGCAGATATGTAGAATTACCTTCGCGTTTTTTAAACTTGTTTTCACGACTTCGTCGTTGCTCGAATTCTTCTACTTCCTTAAGGAGATCACTTTTCTCCGTCTGGGTCAAAATCTCCTTCAGAGTGTCGAGGCAGTCAATTTCTAGCCAGTCGTTGTTTTCTAACTCCCTAAACAATGATCGCACATCTTGAACGTTGCCTTGTCTTTCTTCTGCAATCTTTTCTCCGCAAATCGAGATGAGTCGTTCCAGATCATTGAGCTCATCGAGCACTCGAATACATTAGTTTGCTCAAGCAAGTATTCCTTTCTCTTTGTCTCAAACTTTTCAACTTCCTCAAAAAGAGCCCATTCGTTAACTCCTCTCAACATGCCTTTTAATAAACCCAGATGATTTGGACTCAGAAATCCTTTCTGTTCTAATTCCTCAAACAACGAGAAGGTTTGAAAGTCCTCGACGCTGCGAGCTGCCACCTTTCCTCTGCACAT